AATAAAAAGAAGGCCAAAAAATATTTCCCACAAACAAATATATGACAGGGAAAAGTTCAAAGTACCAAAGGATAACATAGTAGACACAAAGAGAGAAAGATATTAGAAACTGAAAAGGAGGAAGTGTAGATAAAACAAGAAAAATTAAAAAGTTGAAAGAAAAATAAAAAATGAAGTCATGCCCAAAGTAAAAAAAAATAAACATGATAGCTAGAAAAATAGTAACATTTCATGCAACAACATTAAATGTAAAAATAATCTACTTTGTATCATTAGCTGCTCTCAGTGTTACTGAAAATTTGATTACTAGAATTTAAAACAGGAAGTATCTATAAGTTGGTTATGTGTATTTGAATCGCCCCTTCTTTTCATGGAATGATGTTCTACAAATGATGGACAAGTGGCAAATGAAAGAAAAGATTCATAGCCACTCCTGAACCACTAGTGAAATGTGCTAAAATATTTCTAATACAATCAGTTTTTGTTTTCACTAATTCTCAGCAATAAAAAGTGTGCCTATTTTAGAACTAATGTGCTAAATTAAAAAGAATGAGATGCCAGTGTAAACAGAAAATGGGAAAGGAAAACACCGACAATTGAATGAGGGACACCAGAATGAAAATACAAAGAGAATTGGTATTTTAAAAATACCAAAATGAAGGCAGACATTAATTCAATGAAAGGTGGGTAGCGTTTTAATAATAAAAAATAGTTATCACAGACCCAATTCTATAAAGTAGTTAAGTGAAGAATGGATTTAAAGACACACAACTTCATATCCTCTCTACAAAGATAGGTATTATCATTTCTTGCCATATGCAAAGAATTTGAAAAATTACATTTCTATTATTTGAAACAACTAATCCTTATAGCCCTCGATTTCCACAATTATGATTAATAAGCTACAAGCCTGATAAAAATAATGCTTTCATAGTAAACATGTAATCAACTTTCATCTGAATGCACTAGCGTACTTATTTGACTTTTATGATGAGACTGAAAGTAACAATAATACTGCATATGACAGTTGTTTGAAAAAGAAAAGACAATATTAACTTCTAATTATCTTAAAATGATAGGTTTCTTTTATTGCCCTATCCATGTGGTTCAAGTAAAATTCTAAATGGCATTCTGCAGTGTAACATTTGTAGAAATGAATCAACATAATCGAAGTTTTGCAAATGTATTTTAGGAAGTCATTTAAGTAGCAATGTATCTTCTACCAACTGTGTCAGCGGGCGGCCTGACAATTGTCACTTACTAGAATTAGTGCTGTCATCCTTGGTTCCGTCGAGAGCTCCATCAGGGTGCATTTGCAAGTAGTAGCCTTGCCTGCAATATAACCTGGTCACTATACCCTTGAGCTGGGGATCTGAAAGGCAAACATAGTTATCATAAGCCTCATAGTGTGCCACAGTTGCGTTTCGTTTTTCTTTTTCAGAAGTAAAAGGGCATTTTGCAAGTAGCATCTTTTATTTTACGTCTCCCAAATTTATCTGTATTTATCAAACCTATAGTATCATAATTAGAGAAGGTAAAGAAATGCAGTTGTAAGCTACATTTGTCAGCTGCAGAAATAGGTAATTTTATGAAACTGATTTCTGTGTATATAAATTAGTAGTTAAGACAATTAAACTCCCTAATCTATTAGTTTAATTATTAGTTAAGTCCTAAACGAATTAGTGTAATAGTTGAAATGAATGTCATTCAGTATGGGGGTGCAAGTTTTGCCAACTTCTGGCTCTAAGAAATCTTTTTAAAGGCTTTATAATGGATTTTTCCTTTTGCTTAATTTGACAAGTAATCTCAAAATGTGTAAGATCTGTATTACAATAAACATACTAACATTCTTAGATACACATTTTTAGAAACAGTTCTGATATGGAGAAAGCTTCCTTGAAGTCTAAAGGGTCACCTTAGCTTGAATGGAAGCATTTCTGGTACTTAATGCACAATCCACAGGAAAATGGGAAATTGACTTCTGAACTCAGGAGGAGGGCACAATGCTATGAAGTCAGCTCTGTGATTATAATCTGCACAAATTAAGTGAATTGAACAGATAATCCTACTCATTTATATAACTAGAAAGAAGAGTAAAATTATACAATATGGTTTTTGATTCTCAACCAAAAGAGCCTGAGGTAGTGGACAGTGGAAGTTTATTAAGATGAAAAGGGAAATTACATGGGAACAGACTTCTCTTTTCATGATTTGTTGAAAAGACAGCCATTCTAGTGACCCAGTGCTTTGCAAAGAACCAGTTGTACCTTTGAAAATAAATATTTGCATGTGGCTTTTCAAAGACCATCCCCACGTCATGATTAGGTTTGCTGTGGGACATCCTCCTCACCATGGCAACTGGCATCTCTCCACAGATGCTGAATGGGACATGCAAATGTCATGCTGTTGACACAGAGGGATGCTACAGAATGATGAGACCTAGTGCCTTGTGATCACAGAAAAATTGTGGGCTGGCAAACAAGTGACCACAAGAAACACACATGCACAAAAAATCAGCTATTCAAAATGACAATATCTTAGTCTTTCCTTTAGTTCCCAAGAAGTTAAAAGGAATGCCAACATCTGTTTCTACATACATCTCATATCACTAATAATTTGAAAAATGACTCCATGGTACACAGATTTTCTTCAAAGATGGGATGATATTGAAGAAAACCTGGAAAATAATGCATGAACACCACAATATCACAACATCAATGTGACTAAACATATTAGAATCTGAAATCTTTTAGGAGACTGAGATTGTAAAAAGAAACATCTACCTGGTTATGAGGATTGTGTTGCATATGTTCCTTATTGCGAAGGATGTACCTTTAAAAATCACATAATTCTAAGATGTGCATTACTGAAAATTAAATCACTCTTGTACCTTAGTCTGCCCATAACCAAGTACAACTTGACTAAACATCAACCCTCTCAGTACTAAGGGTTGCTTTTTTTGGTGTTGCTGCATCATATCGACGCTAGTCACTGAAAATAAGTAGCACAGAAAAGAAGAGAACAAAATAAAGAGGTGGGAGAGTTTCTTAATCACCATGAAAACATTTAGATAATTTTAGAGATGGAGAATTTTTCTGCAAAACCTATATGTTCTGAATCACTTATTTTTAGTAATCCTATGCTTTAGAATCTATATATTCTGGACTTGAATTAAGTAGGTTAGACAAGGCAATAAGACAACACATATAACCCCTATGGGCTCCCTCATCCTTACACAAAGAGAACCCTTCTTTTTGTTTTTCTATTACCAAAGGTCAGAGATAGCAAGTGTTTTTGAGGATGTGCAGAAATGGGAACCTTCATACATTGTTGGTGGGATTATAAACTGGTACAGCCACTGTGGAAAACAGTATTGAGGTTCCTCAAAAAATTAAAAGTAGAACTACCATATGATCCAGCAATTTTACTTCTGGGTATTTATTGAAAGGAAAATGAAATTAGGATTTCAGAGACGATCTGCATCCCATGCGCACTTCAGCACTAGTCACAATAGCCAACATATGGAAACACCTACGTGTCCATTGACAAGTGAATGGACAAAGTAAATGTAGTATAATAGTATACATATATGTATATATCCTTATATGTATGTGATGGAATATTATTTGTCCTTCAAAAATAAGGAAGTTTTGCCATGTATGACAACATAGATGAACCTGGAAGACGTGATGCCAAGTAAGTCCTTCTCGACCACACCTTATTTCTAATAAGGAAATACAAGTAAACATGAAATGGTGTTTTTTGAGCTCATTTAATTTCGAGAAAACAAAACCAAATTCATTTCTATTTATCTAGTTTCACCTTATTTGGTATTTTCTTTTTAGAAACCACAGTGACATCGATGGTGCTCTTCTCAAGCCAGGCACTGTTCCAAGCACATTACAGGATTAACTTCCTGAACTCACCACAATTTATCGAATAAGAAGCCCATCGTGAAGACGAGGAAGGGGAGAGTGCGGAGTGATGAAGTGACCTGACAAAGAGTGCTTACCCGATAAGTGCGGACCTGGGGTTCGAGCGTGATCCTGCCCACTTAACTACTGAACTGTGTGGCTTCTGTAAATTGCATGATTAAACTTAACCAACTTAAAAACTTAAAATGAAAACCAATACGTTTTTTTAAAAACTAGGTTTTCAAAGATTAACCCCAGCTGTGTCTGACCCCAAATTTGTGATATAAAGTGATAACATGAAGTTAGAAAGGATCAAAGTTCTTGAAAATCTCTCTTAAGGTCCATCCTACTTTGCCATTGGCTGCATTTTCAATAGATCTCTACCCAGAAAAGCTTCCCCCAGATTTCACATTTACTACGTACGTTTGAATTTCTTTCAGCATCATTTTCAGTTCTCCCAGTTCCACCGGCTCAGCCTTGACTACTTATGTTAACAGTATGGGCGCCCTGGGATCGATGCCTTGCTTGTCTTTTTTATTTCAACTAATGAGCTGTCCAATCCCCAAAGATGCTGTCTTCACAACCTCCCTCACTCCTTTCCCTTGTCCCATTTTCACTGCCAGCAGCCGTCCAGCCCCTCGTGCCCCTCCGGGGAGGTCGTCTTGCCTGCAGTGTGCCCTGTGCCAGTCCCTCGCATCAGGAAACAGGCAGTGAGTCTTGGCGGCCCACGGCACCACTCACAAACCCTGCAGGGGCAGGGCCCCTTCTTAGCTGCCTGGCCTTGTTGCCTACAGTTCCCACACCATCCCCTGCACCCAGCGCAACCTGGGTCACCGTGGGCTGCCTACAAATACGCCGTAATCCCTCACATGTACCCTGCTCCCTTTACCTTCCTGTCTCAAATGTGCCCACCTTCACAAAGATGCCCCCTCGCTTATCTGTACACACACGCCCACATGCACACATCTTCGCATGGTTAATTCCTGTCCTTCTTTTCCTAGTTCAGCATTATTAACACTTCCTCTGGGGCACTTTTCTGACACCTCAGACAAGATCAGATTCCTCCTTCAAACGCTTTGAAGGCAACATTCTTAATAAATATAATTTATTTTTTTTAAAACAGCAAAAATATTTCACTTTGAAATGTTTTTAATACATTAAAAGATACAGGAAACAATACACCTACATTCATGTAGCCACCACTGAGATTTAGACAGATGTTAATATTTTGCTTTATAATTCATGGTTTCAGTTTCACATTTGTACAATTACATGATTGATATCTGGCCCCAAACTGGACTGTAGGTTTCATGAGGAAAGTCGAAACTATGATATTGCATTACATCTCCAGGGGCTTGATAAATAGGAGCTGTGAAATACGTATTTCTTGAATGAATATTGATAGGGTGTAATTTATCTAGTAATTTCATATATTGCTGGTAAGAGTGAAAACTGGAACAACATGAAAACCCAGATGGTAGTAAAGACTTAAAAATGACCACAACTTTTGACCAGATAATCATACTTTCCAGATTTCTAACTTAAAAATAAATCCTCAGTGTTACAAAGTTCTGTGTAATAACATATGTACATAGAACATGAGCATGAGTAAATAAAAAGTACTATCTAAGGGGAAAAATATATGGGAGATAATACATCAAAATGATAAATATAACTGAATTTTGATGGTTACTGGAATATTTATTTTTCAACACTTTATTATTTGCAGAATTTCCTGTGTAATAATGGCATGCTAATTTTGTAATGGAAATGCAGGAATTTTAATAAAAGCTGTCAATGTTTTTGACAAAGAATGAGTAAAAATAACATTTTGTACATACTTGCAAATAATACTGCATACATATATGCAAATAATCAAAATGCATATTACTGTTGTAGAAGAACTGGTTGCCCCAGATTTTCAAGGATTCTAATTATCAATTTCTTTTTCTGCATACTCACATGCCCATGAAACCTTTACTATGAGCCTCACTTATAAAATGGCCATTGTGAAGTACGGCTATTGACAGCTTAAGGTCAGTCTTTCAAATGACTAAAGCAAAAGAAAACAAAACCTTTTCCCAAAGGCCAAAGTGTTTAACCAAGTAATCATTGCAAAAACAAAGCAAGCTTATTGAGAAAATAACCATATCAGTTAAGTGCAGTCAGGCAATGGTGTAGCTAAGTTTCTAGATCTACGATGTAGAGGAGAACATAACCCTCTTCTTTCTCCCTCGACATCAAGTCTACTAGGTGCTGGACAGTTCATTACATGTATGACTTCATGACTCTGGGAGAGAAAAGGTGACAAAAAGGGACCGAGGAAATCTCACGCAACCACCAGAATGGAGAGAATGAAGACTGGCCAGTTGGAATAGAAGAATATGCCTCTGAAATAATAGCGTCCAAAGTGGGGCGCCTCTTCCCAAAAAAGGAATGAAAGGCAATACATTGTAGC